TCCATATACCTAAAAATGCTTCTCGGCGACAATCACGTAATTTAAGAATTTCTGACTTTAACTGATTGTGACAACACATTTGTGGACAAATGGAGCCAAACTTTTAGTGACAATATTAGGCACTGAACCATTCTATACAACCATAATGATTAACACTACAGGCACAGTGTTATTTAAGAGAAAATACACGGCGACAGAAAAATTGTTATTGGGGCATTACTATCTGGAATGACTGGATACGGAGAGCAGAATCAGAGAGCGTCCAAGTTTCAGACCATCTGTTAAAAACTGAATTATTGACAGTTGCCAAGTTAACTTTGTATACATATTTTTTAAATAATATACGGCCATGATTTTATTTAGGTAGGACAAATATAAAAGTTTTTAATCGGAGGTACAATTCTAGAAACCTTCCTCAATTTTGAAATCCCAAATCCATTTTGTTACATTGACTTCATCATTTCCATGGTAACCCCAAAAATATAGGGATTTTATATTTAGGTAAGTACATGTGTACATACTGGACGATGATAAATGTACAAAATTGTCTTACAGGTCCAACCTTAAAGCTGTTTATATTTCTAACCATGACAAAAATCTAATGGAGGTGAAAATCTGATTTATTCCAAAGCAGTGTCTCTAATAATGTCTATCTTAATTATATATTTTTGAACATAAGGGGAGATATTGAAATGATATTAAAATTGTATGAGATGTAAAGGCAGTATCCTTTAAATTGTTTAGGCAAAGGACGATTCTCGGTTTGGAGAACGGTCTCCTGGGCTAATAATTTTTTTCATGAAAAATACAGAAATATTACCCAAATTAAACTATGAATATTCAAAAGAGGACATTTAAATCTACAAGATGTAAAAATAAAAAATTGGTCTGAAGCAGGGATAACGCTCAATTAGACCGATTCAATAAAATACAAGTCTCGATTTGGGGAAAGAAGTTCATCAGTTACTGCGCTAATATTTTTTTTGCGAAAAATCTAGAAATATTACCCAAATTAAATTATGACTATTCAAAAGAAGACATTCAAATATATATTATGTAAAAATATCAAATTTGTCCGAAGCAGGGATAATGCTCATTTAGATTGATGAACTTCATTCTCCAAACCGAGAATAGTCCTTTGAATAGTTGAGGCAAATTAAAATATGTGAGGCAAATTTAGATAATTGAGGCAAAGAGGATATTTTTGGGACATAATATTTACAATTTTAGTTGAAAAATATATATTTTTCTCTGAAAAATTTGGCAAGGAACTGGCTCATAGCTAGTTTCACCAAGTTGATGTTGATTTTAGTCTTAAAGTTTTCATTTTGTACTTATGTACTTTGATTTTAATGTAAAACAAGGGCCATCAAAACTCTCTAAATTGAGATACTTTGATAAATTTATAGGCATCAGTTAAAAGACACTCTGGCCAAAAGATGTCCACACTTTGAAGAATACCGTTTATTGAGGTGTTTACATAGGTTTACTCTATTTACACTATTATCTGTAACAATGTACAGTATTTATCATTTCATCGTTCAGTTTTTACATCAGATTCTGATGATAAGGTTTTATCTACTTGGTTGAAAGAAAGATGGCAGCGAGGTGGTCTATATGAATTATACTGCCATCTTTCTATCAGTACAGAATCTATATTTTTAAATCTAAAGATTTAATGTTAGCGCCAAATGTTTTTGTATGTATGTTGTTCCCTGTTTTGACTCAGGCCTTGCATCAAGATAAAAATTTTGATTTTATCAAATTAAATGCTACATGTGCTAGCATGAATTGTGCACTCATTTTTTCAATTTGTGCTGATTTAGCATGAAAAAAGATGAGCACTATTTCTGTATAGTTATTTTGGCAGTGTATACTAAAAGTTATAGCCCTATAAAATAAGAGTCTCAAATTGTAAGTCATCATTTCAATGATAAAACCAACATCACAAACTTACCAAATGAATTAGTGCACTGAGTATATTGTTATTTGGCCTAGAGATTTTGCTGTTAAAATATTGAACGAAACAAGAATTTTGTTAAGTTTAGCTGCAAACATGAAATGTGTGTTAGCAGTATATAAATGTTTATTAATTTATGTACTATGTATAGGTACAGTGGATAGTAATACATCATAATAAAACATTAACAAAACGTGCATTGTCATGTTTTATATTATAAGCATATTCATCAAAATATGTCCCAACATTCTAAACTTGTATCTCAACTTCAGGCCCGTAGCCAGGGTTTGCCAAGGGGGTTCATTTTTCAAAAATTTCCAGGGGGGTTCACATTTGACAATTTTTGCCCAAATATGGCTAAGTGGATAGTAATACATAAGTGGATAGTAATACATCATAATAAAACATAAACAAAACTTGCTTTGTCATTTTTATATTATAAGCATATTCATCAAAATATTTCCCAACATTCTAAACTTGTATCTCAACTAACTTAAACTCATCTGAATCGTGAAATAACTTTAAAAAAGTCACAAAGTCACATTTTTATGAAGTCGCTTGAAATCTGAGATAGTTCGTGACTGAGTTACAATGAGCGCACGTGTGACTTTTTATGTTGAATATGGTCTCAAGAAAACATGACGTTTAATGGTTTCGATTATTTACACAACAAGACAGCCATCGATGATTATATTTAATTCAGAGAAACAAATACAGGAGTTGATAACAACTAAAAAGAATACCAGCGATATTTTTCGAATTTTTTGTATGTGCGCTTATTGGAATCTCTATTTCTAAAATTTCAATTGGAAATCACACTGTGTGCTAGTTGGAACGTAAAAAATACTGGAAAAATATAGAGGGGTCAAGCATCACAAATCTCAGCCGTTTGGGTGCAGCTCTGTAAAAAGTAGAATTCGATCAATCGGAGCATTTTTAGAGAGAATGGTCGATTAACTTTTGACATCTTGAAATAATCATCTTTTAACAATTTTTCACAATTAGTACTCATGCATGGAATGTTTTTATTGTAGTTTCTCTATTTAACACAAATCCATGTATCAAAAAGCAAAAGTCTTTCCTGGGTCACCGCGAATGGCATGATTTCCTCGAGTCTCTTCAGTTGCAGGCAACCATACTGGGACCGATTCGCGTCGTTCCAAATGAATTAATGCAAAAATATAGAGGGGTCGTTCAACAAAAATCTCAGGTCAGTAAAAAGTAGAATTCGGTCAATCGAAGCATTTTTAGAGAGAATGGTCGATTAACTTTTGACATCTTGAAATTATCATCTTTTAACAATTTATCACGCTGAGTAAGCTTACTCATGCATGTAATGTTTTTTATCGAACCTAACAAGAGGTACGATATTGTAGTCACCTTGACGGGCGGTGGGCGGCGGGCGGCGTCTCACTTTTCAGCTTGTCTACAGGTTTCCAGCCAAATCTTTTCAGGGATTCATCTGAAATTTTCAGGGATGTTTCTTCATATCAACGTCGAGAACTGATTAGTTTTGGGGCATTCTGGTTAAATTTTAAGGTGGCCATTTTGGATTTTCTGTCCTAAAATCTTCACTTTCAAGACTTGTCTACAGGTTTCCAGCCAAACCATTTGAGGGATTCATCTGAAATTTTCAGGGATGTTTCTACGTATCAATGTCAAGAACTGATCAGTTTTTGGCCATTGTGAGTAAATTTTAAGGTGGCCATTTTGGATTTTCCGTCCTAAAATCTTCAATTTCAAGACTTGTCTACAGGTTTTCAGCCAAACCAGTTGAGGGATTCATCTGAAATTTTCAGGGATATTTCTACATATCAATGTCAAGAACTGATCAGTTTTTGGGCATTCTGGGTAAATTTTAAGGTGGCCATTTTGGATTTTCCGTCCTAAAATCTTTACTTTCAAGACTTGTCTACAGGTTTCCAGCCAAACCATTTGAGGGATTCATCTGAAATTTTCAGGGATGTTTCTTCATATCAACATCGAGAACTGATTAGTTTTGGGGCATTCTGGTTAAATTTTAAGGTGGCCATTTTGGATTTTCCGTCCTAAAATCTTCACTTTCAAGACTTGTCTACAGGTTTCCAGCCAAACCATTTGAGGGATTCATCTGAAATTTTCAGGGATCTTTCTATGTATGAGAGTTTAGAACTGATTAGTTTTTGGGCATTCTGGGTAAATGTTAAGGCTGCCATTTTAGATTTTCCGTCCTTAAATCTTGTCTATTGAGGCTTGTCTACAGGTTTCCAGCCAAACCGTTCAAATTTTTACATATGTTACACAGGTGATAAGTTCTAGCGCTGATTAACTTTTCTGCGGCCATCTTGCTTTCTTGGTCAACAAGATCACAATGCTGTGTTTTAGGTACGATATTGTTCACGTCTGTGCCTTGTATTGCAGTGTCTTTATTAAAAAAAACAAATTCATGTTCATAAATGAACTTAAGTTATTACAAATTCATATGTTGTTTCAAAAAGCAAAAGCCTTTTCTGGGTCACCGCGAATGGCATGATTTCCTCGAGTCTCTTCAGTTGCACGGCAACCATACTGGGACCGAATCGCGTCGTTCCACTACTGCCCTTGGTGGGGGCCCGCTACCTATATGACTCCCGGAGTTTACTAAAGCACGTTAGTGGAGGAACCAACCACAGTCTCACAATCTGTCTCCGGCAAGAGCGGCCAGAGAACCAACCCATGCCAAGGGCCGGTAAACGGTTGGACCTTCGGACCGGATGTCCGTAGTGACAATGATCAACAACTCCGTACCTTGGGCTCGAACGCGGGACCTCCGTATCCCACGACGTTCAACCCACGAAATAGTCTGTCTACGCCACGAGGCTACTCCGCTTAGGTGTCAGGACTGCTAAAAAATATTGTAGTTGTTATAATTATTTTGCTAGGCTGAACATGCAACTAATACCCATGCTTAATTAGTCCAATATCCAAATCGTTAATCGGGATAGAAGTTTGAAAACAGTTAATAAATACGACCTCCAATTCAAGAATCACCATCAACTCTTGCAAATGTGTACGGGCTGTAACATGATCATGTAAAATAGATGGTAAAAGAAATCGAGATCCAACTATGAATATGAATATCAGGAAGGGGGAAATATTCCAATCATAAGACTTATTTCGTGTATTTGGAACGTTGTTGCATTTGTGTTCAAATATTAATTATGTCTCAAAGAAAATGAAAAGGCTCAACCAGCTGACGAGTGAAAACAACGTTCCGTATTAAGATATGCCAATATTGGTCAATACCACGATAAGTGAATAGATTTGGGTGAATTGTGTCAAGAAAAAATTAGCTATTATGGCAAATTACTTCAAAAACAATCCGATTGCGTTAATTACGAACACGGGATTACGACATGTAGAACGAATCGTATTCATATATTTCAGATTCACTCCATTTCTCAGTAATCTGAAATCGGTTCAAATGAGTCGAAAACAAAATCATAGTTTTTTGAAATTACTTCAATTAGTTCATTTCCGCAGAGATGTCTCTGATTTCCGAGAGAAAACATTTGGCCTTGGATAAAACTGTCTCTCTCGTCGTCGTCGTCGTCGTCGTCGTCGTCGTCGTCGTCGTCGTCTACGTCTGTCGTCACCTTGTTTTAGATCCATGTATCATTTTGTTGGTTATAATACCTATCTAATAGTTCTTCAACTGAGTCCAGAGCTCCCTCCATCCATTGTGAATTACTATAGCAACTTCCAACTATATGCACGTTTGCATCTTCAAAAGGTTTGATCATTTGTTTGGAAATGATTTCCAAATTAGCACCGGCCTTCCAGGAATAGAGAGATGCCCCTTTCCAATAATGCATTACGCCTATGTACGGACGTGCTAGGTCTTTGGGACGTAGTTGATGTATCTCTGCAATCTGGTTATGGGCCTCAACTAAAATTGACTCTGATATGTTGTATTCACTTACAAGCATGTTGGTAGCTTGAGGCGTGGCTAGGTGTGGTTGACTTTTTAAAAATGAGTCATCCCAGAATGACGCACGTGGGTAACCCGAGTTAACCAACAACATTGATTTCCTGTTAACGTCTTGCAATGTATCAGAGGAGGGTTTATCTTGGCCCATGTATAGTATCTGACCAACAGGAAGGGTGGACACAGCCCTCCCTGTTGTGAATCCTAGTCCCTCCCACCATGGCTCCTCGTAGCCAAGGTACATTTCAAAAAACTCTTGTCCAAAGACAGCATTAAGACGATAGTCGATGAAATCCTGATTTTTAAAAGGTTGCCAGTCGATGTCCATGAGAGCATCTTTATGTAGTGCTAAGATGACACGTTTGGCACACACGGTCGTCTGTTTCTGAAAAATACAGTTGGTTTGGATACAGGGAATATCCCTTGGGATATACAATATATCTTCCCTCGGTCCCTTCCGGCCCTCGGGAGGATATATTGTTTATCCTTCAGGATCTCCCAGTGCATAACCCCTGTGTTTTCACCTGCTTAATACTTTTTTATGACAGCATAAAAGTTGTAGGGCCTATTTTGGCTCTTTGTTTTATGTCACCACCACAATTAGTGACATATTGTTATAGTCTCCAACTTTGTGACGGTCGGCGTTCGAAGATTCGCGTCTGTAAAAAATGGCAGGTGGTGACATTTTCCCTAGCCTGTTAATGTGTTGCTTTCCAAAATTTGCACGAGATACTCAGCATCGCGTGTTAGCCCAATTTTAGGAAACAACCCCTAAAATGAATGGTCATTCAACAATGCATTGAGTCTTGGGCTTACATTCTTTTCACAATTTGCAAAATATTTTCTACCAGCATGTTATATGTCACTTCAAGGATACGAAATCACTAAAAGAAAATATTTTCAGTGAACCTTTTTCCAAGGGTCAAGTTGGTAAAACATCAATTTCAATCTGCAAAATCAAGTTATCACCTTAACAACCATACAGTGAATGCGTTATTGGTTATATTTATATAGTGCAGTGATGTGAAATACTGTGTTCGGATTGGCTGGAATCGGACACACCTTGCCTAGCTATGTGTGAATACATAATCAACTCACCTCAGTATCTGATGTGATATAGCTGGTTGTTGTTTTTTGAAATGTTAACAGTTCATTCTTCCCTTGCTTTTTTATGCGTATCAACTTATGGTTCATGTGCACTTTATGTCCGAAAATTTCATTTCATTCAATCAAAGTATAATGCTCCAATGCTTTTCAATGCTGCTCGGTGGCACCAGTAGAACATATATGGCTATAGTTCAACAAGTTAAACCCAATACCACGACTTTCATTTATTAATCTGAGTGCTCTTGTTGCCGTGGTTGGGTTAGACTTCCGTTCTATGCTTTCGATTCATTGGTTGCAAATTCTCACTATCTGTTATTAATGTAATGAGACCTTACTAGGGGTATTGATGGTACTGAAAATATAGCTTAGCCAAAAGAACAAAGGACAGAGGGTATTTACAAGGATAACAATCGGATAAAATCAACACGGTTTACAACATCAAATATTTATTTACAACATATAACAATACATGCATACAGTAATATAAAACGATAAGAGATAAAATGGAAATGCTAATAACGAGATCCAACCCCGGAGCGCCAGAGGGCCATGCCACGCCCTAACTTCCGTTATCGTAATACATCTTACATCAAGTATTTGATCCCAAACTACTACTAGTGATAAAGACAAAGGCGTACCTCGTTGTAATTTACCTAATGTACTTCCGTATATCAAACCTAGTGCCAATATCCAATACTCAACAAAGCATGGTCCAAAATCCAAACATCAAACAAGAAGCCACAATCACACAGATGGGAAATATGATTGAAATATGAAAGTCAAAATCCTTAATTTACGGCCGTTTAATTTGGCTTAGTTGGCGGTTTGATGAAAACCGCCAAATTAAGCCTCCGCCAATTTTTGAAAAAATCCCCAGAACTTTTTGATCTCATTGAGAGTTCTTTCAATATTTTGAATGTAGCCCCATTTTTTACATTTTAGCTCGTATATGAACACACCCTGTGATCAGAAAAATCAAAACAATTAGTCTATACAATAACAAGGTACCAGAGTTTCTCGCAAGTAGGCCCATGGGCATTTATTTGAAAGATCTAAAGTATATTACTTTTCAGTTCACCCTACTCATCTTAGCTTTATCATTCGTTATACCTCCGCTTGGGGTTGTCACCAAAACGGGGATCATCCATGGGAAAATAGTATACTACTTGAGTTAATGCAAAGCTGGAGTAAATACATGTACATAAGAAAATCTTCAAATGTCCACAGGACATATGCCACATGGCATTGTGTTTATTGTTCACTTTCTCTCCTTTACAACAATGTTGAATTGCCCAGGTAGATTTGTTAATCCATGAACAAACTTGGTTGGGTCTGGATCTGGTGGGTTGTTTTTGTCTTCAGGGAGAATGTCCAGTTTTTGTAGTAAACTGGTGACAAACAGGAACATTCTCAGTTTGGCCATTGCTTCTCCCAAGCACTCTCGTTTACCAATTCCAAATGGTAGAAATCTAAGAAAAACAAAGTAAAACATAATAAAGACAACCCAGTCCTTTACACAAGCTCCGTAGGTTAATAAATCATAGCAGATATGTACATGCAATTGAGAATACAAAGAGCGGAAACCTGAATTAACACATTTGAAATTTGTGTTTGTATGATCAGAGGTCATTAGGTCTGTTGCATCAGTACAACTTACGATTTTCGTTCATATGCTGACAGAAGTTTGCCATCATCATCCAGGAATCTTTCCACCTTGAATTCATATGGCTCATCAAAGTACTTCTCATCATGGTGTAAGGCCCATAGGTTCATCCAAACCTTGTCAAACAAATAACAATAGTAATTTATTGAATTCTACAAGACATTGACTATAGATATCTGACAGTATTCCCCATCAGAAACAGATTTGAAATATCTTTAACTTAAACTTGCAGCTCTACCCATTATCCTTTTCTGTACACAGCCAATATAATTCGAAAACATTCGGCGCTGTTCCGGCACCGTTGCGGCACTGAAACCTTTCGACTTCAAAATTTGGCACCGGACTAGTCAGTCCATTTGGTGCCTAAATTGGACCGAAATTTGGCACCGAAACGTCGTCGAAAATCAGATTGCATTTTGGGGGTGTAGACAGGAATTTTCTTTTTACGTTTCTCTTACCATTGTTCCACATGGTACTTTGTAACCACCCACACTGGTGTCACATAGGGTTTTATGGGGGAGAGACAACGTCGTAGTTGTGCTGTAGCGAAGAATTTCCAGAACTGCAGCTTCTGAATATGGCATGTTATGCCTATCTGCAAAAGTTGGCAGTCGGCCATCACCGATGACATCATCAATTTCAGCTTGTATTTTTTTCTGGACGTCAGGTTTGTTGACCAAAATCAACAGAAATGCTTCCAAAGTTGTGGATGTTGTTATTATTCCTATTCAAAAAATACAAACACAATACTGTAGATACACTTGATTTGACGCATCTTAATTTGGCTGATTTGCTCAATTTCAAACATTGGCAGCTTTTTAATTTGGCGGAGTTGGGACTGAGCTAAGGTTTTATCATAGATCTGAAAATAAACATTTCAGATTCATGTGTTCTGCTTTCAGTAAGTCTTGGTATAGCACTGACATCCAAATAGGAAAATACTTACACAAGCGAAATAATTACATATTCCCTATAGTAGATGGGTTAACTGCATTTTAGGGGGTCTGGACTTCAATCTATGATGCAAACGTTTCCTTTGGCATAAGAGTACCTTAGGACCATAGAAACAAATTTATCCAAAGACACACGCCAGATGGCGCTTTATATTGGAAATATTCACATTTTTCAAAATGGCCGCCAAAAATACAACGGAGACAATATATTTTCTTCTCTGCATACTATATTGATAGGATTGGTGCATAAATATACATTTGTGGGTGAAGAATCAATTTAGTGTGGGTTTGTGTCTTGAAAATGAGAAACTTACTTTTTGTATTAAAAATATGCCTTTTTCAAAATGGCTGCCAGAGATATGATATCTTAACTTGTATGCATGCTACAATAGTAAGATTGATGTCCAAGTATACATTAATGGGTAGTAGAATCCATTTGATAAGGTTTATTGTCTTTATTTTCCCAACGAAGAAAGTTCAGTGGGGATATAGAAAAGCCCTCCGTCCGTCAGTCTGTCAGTCCATCGTCTGTCTTATGTATGATTTTGCAATTATTTTCAGATTCCTTCAAAGTAGGCTATGGCCATATGTACTCAATTAAATTGAAGATGATGTTAATTTTATGATTAATGCCTCATAAAATTCAAAATGTCCCAGAGAAGGAGTTCATTAGCTATACTAGATATGTTGTCAAGGTATGGTTACATTATATTAAGTGAGATCTCAATTATTTGTCTAAATAGGTTTTTTAGCATTGACTTAATGGTCACCGTAATGTTAAAATCAGTGGAAATTCTGATATTGTACTGTATGTCTATTAGTAAACAAACATGTTCACCTTTTATTGAAAATGTATGCCCTTTTCTCAATGGCAGTGGAAAATATTAAAACAAATTATATCTAACAAGGGCTCTTAAACTTCTTCAAAAGTGTAGTGTTGAATATCAATTTGCGATGACGGAAACTATGCTGAAAACTATGGATAGCATGGGAGATGCGGTTTTCAACTTCAGCGCATTTCAAATAACGTCCCCTTTAAAGTAATTGTTGATATAAAGTGAAGAAACTTTTGATATGTTTTAATTGAGAAAAAGAGGAGATGAAGAGGGTTCTGCAATACTGTCATTATATGCAGCCCTTGAAATCTATTCCGATCTTAAGATTTTCTCTCGCCAGAAGGTTTCTGGCCCTTTCTAACTATAGGTGCATATGTATGTCTCTCCTGCGTGGTTTCTATCTATCACATTTCTCTCTTATGTATGTTGCATTGCAACAACTAAAGTTGCACTACCATTGCAGATGCATATTAATTGCAAGTTACTAAAGAGACTCTTGTCTTTCTGGTGAATTTGAGTAAAAGGAACATTGGAAAATAAATACACATTTGCTGTGTTAAGGCGAAAACAATTATTTTTAAGGCTCATAATCCAATTAGCTAGATGTGAGTAGTAACAATCTTTATTTTTGTCATTAAAAAATCAAAATTCAGTCTAACTGATGTTGAATTTGGAATCGTCGTGAAGAAATACATCAAGAAATGTAGTTTTGAAATGAGTCCATCAACTTTAAAATTGAATTTTCTTGTCTTTTCTTAAATGTGACATTTAGGTCAGGGAGATTCCCCATAGTCCCCATGTTGTAAAACACAAAAAGTGAAATATCTTTTCTTGTGTTGTGCAGATAATATTTTCTTTTACTGGAGATATTTTAATTTGCACAGCTATCATATACAAAAGAGTAATATGAAATGTGAACCCCTAAAAATAAAGAATATTCAAGTTTAAGGGAACTTAGTGATACCCTGCAATATTATTTCACCCGAATTAACCGCCCAGTGGGGAAAATGGTAACTACCTACTTGCATCTGTCGTAATTTAACAGATTTTACATTCCCAAAAATGTAGATTTTGAAGCCAATTTTATGAAATATTATGCCCAGAAGCAAAGAAACTTTTAGCAAAGATACAATTTTTGTTAGCAAAGATACAATCTTTGTTATCAAATTTGTAAGCAAAGATACAATCTTTGTTATATTTTCAGCTGCATATATTTCAAATATAAAATGAAAACTATAATCTCACAAGACTTAATGAAATTGATTCTCCTACCCCATAAATATAAAATTTTGACACCAATCGTATCAGTGTAGCATACACTGATGTGAAGATATCATCATTGTTATATTTCTGGTGGCCATTTTGAGAAACACATAATTTCCAATAAAGTAAAAATTCTTATTATGAAAGACCTATTTAAATGGATTCGACACCACTCTTATCATTGTAGCAATCTTTGAAGCGAAGATATCATCTTTGTTATATTTCTGGCAGCCATTTTGAAAATAATGCATATATTTTGAATATAAAGTGCAAGTGATGAAGTTATTAGACTCCAAACCTAATTAAATAGATTCTACAACTACATTAATGTATTTTTGACACCACTCTTATAATTGTAGCATGCATAGAAGC